AGCCATGCACGCAAGCAAAGCAAAACAAGGAATCCATTCACTGCTTCCCATTGGCAGGCAGGTGTCCAACCAGCCCCAGGAAAGCAGGGCTCCATCACATGTAATGGTCACTTAGGAAGACAAACACCATCACTCCAAATAACACCCCCACCTCCATCTTCTTCCCCCAGCTTTATATTCTGAGCATAACATCATTTGGCATGGAATTCCCCTGTGGTCAGTTGGGGTCAGGTGTCCTGGATGGGTCTCCTCCCAACTTCTTGTGCATCCCCAGCCTACTTGCTACTGGGGGTGGGGTGAGGAGCAGAAAAGACCTTAAGAGCTCAGCAACAATCAAAAAATGTCAGTGCGCTACCAACATTTTTCTCATCCCAAATCCAAAACACAACCCCACACCAACTGCTAGCAAGAACATCAACCCCAAGCCAGCAGAAGCCATGACACCTTCCCACAAAGGGAACACTCAGCCTGCCTCACGTGTCTTCTGAGAGCAACTGGGAAACTGAAACACAAAACCACTTTACTGCTGTGGAAATGTTAAGAATTACTGAAACTCGGGAGAATATAATGGTCATTATGATGATACGTAAACACATGACCAAATCTGCCCAGGTTGGTCGAGGATTCAGGAAGAAATTCTTTACTGTGAGGGTGGTGAGACACTGGAACAGGTTGCCCAGAGAAGCTGTGGCTGCCCCATCCCTGGAGGTGTTCAAAGCCAGGTTGGATGGGGCTTTGAGCAACCTGGTCTAGTGGGAGGTAGGGGCATCTCCCACTAGACCAGGTTGCTCAAAGCTGGCAGGGGGGGTTGGAACTCGATGATCTTTAAGGACCCTGGAGCCTGGAGCATCTCCCTTATGAGGAGAGGCTGAGGGACTTGGGTCTTTTTAGCCTGGAGAAGAGAATACTGAGGGGGAACCTGATCAATGCTTATAAATACTTCAAGGGAGGGTGTCAAGAGGATGGAGCCGGTCTATTTTCAATGGTGCCCAGGGACAGGACAAGAGGAAATGGGCACAAAGTTGAATATAAGAATGAGGAGGAACTTAGAATCATAGAATCAGAATCATAGAATTGATAGAGCTTCTTCACTTTGAGGGTGGCAGAGCCCTGGCAGAGGCTGCCCAGGGAGGTGGTGAAGTCTCCTTCCCTGGAGACATTCAGACCCCACCTGGACATGTTCCTGTGCAACCTGCTCTGGGTGGCCCTGCTCCGGCAGAGCCCTCATCGCCCTCGGGGACCCGCCACCCGTCCCCGCAGCCTCCCGGTGGGGGGACCATGCCATCCCCGTCCCCAAGGGACACACAAACCCCCTGCTGGGGACCATTCCCTCCTGCCTCGGTCCCCCTCTGCCGTACGCGGGGTGAGCTGGCCCATTCCCCATCCTGGCTGGGGGGGACCCGGCACTGAGCACCCCCGGGGCACTCTATGTGTATCAGTTAAGGTTATGACAATTAAATCCCATTCTTGCATACACACACATATCCCTCCCGCATCCTTCCCACCATCCCCTTCACCTCCGCACAAAGGGGGTGGGTGCCGGGGGACAGATGGTGGCACTTGGCGGTGGTGTCAGGGCAGTGAGCACTGGGGGAGGCAGAAGAAACCTGCAAGGATTTAGAGGCAGGGAACAAGGGAACAAGGCTGTGGCTCCCTCTGCACCCTGAAGGGATGGGGAGACCTTTTTTTTCAGCTCTAGTGTCAGAAAAAGAATATAAATATAAACAATAAATATATAAGAACATAAATAAATATACCTGAGCACCTGCCACAGGCCAGCGGTGTGTCTAAAAATAAGACTTACAAGCTAGCAACTTTCTGTATCAAAATTATTTAAGAAACAGGCCTTCACTTCTGAAAACGAAATATCCACAGCTTTTGCTAGCTGTCATCTTTATTTTATTTTATTTTATTTTTAAACTCATGCATACATTGGAAATTGAGAAATGTGAGATAACATTCCTCTGATGCTCTGAAAGCACTGAACTGCCTAGGAAGTCTGTGTTTCTTTTCTACTCTTTCAAGCTAGGACAGAGCTGGAGATAAACCAGAAGTGGCCACAGCATTTGTCCTGCAGCTTGGCTCAGTAAGGATGCACACGCGGGTAGGTATGACCTTGACCTTGGCTCACACCCTGTTCTCAAGTGACGCAGAAATCCTGGGTTAAGAAAAAATGGACCCTACCAATGATGGTTTTGCATTGCAGAAACATTTTTTGGTCTTGTTTTACGGGTGCTTTGATACACCCACGCAGCTCAGACTAAGCTGTGGGAATAGTGACGGTGCAGCTTTGGAGCCAAGACCTGGAAACAGTCTGGAAAATAGTGAGGGGCCACATCCTGGTTCTGCTGCCGTAAACTTGCACTGGCTTCAGTCGGGCCAGGATTCCGCCCTGGATGCGACCATAAATAATGGAAATGGCAACAGGCAGTATATACACATGATGCAAGTTTAGAGGAGTTAGAAGCATTTGTGATTCATGACATAATTAAGAGCATGAGGAGGAAACTTTCCATAGGGAAAGGTTATTCTATAATTATCCTCTCAGCTGGCTTTTTATCTTCCTTTGAAACACCTGGAATTAGACAGTCTTAAAGACAAGGCACTGGATTCCCAGGCTGTGCTGGAATAGCCACAATTAACAGAGCCAGGCAGAGTCTTTTCTAGTCCATTCCTGCGTGATATTAAAATACGCTGTTAAGAAAAGTTGTTCGATAAATACTTTCTTCCTAACTCTGGTTCGCTGTTACCAAACAGTCAGTTCCTAATAAGCATGAAGAAAGTTTCTAAGGAAGAGGAATATTCCTGCCAAGCACTGTGTAACTTTTTCTAAGACCTTTTGCATTTTCCTAGGACCCGACTGGCTTTGAATGAACTCGGTGGAAGCTGCCGAGGTCTTGGCACCAGATGAAGAAGGAGTGGAGGTGCGATGGTTATTAGCTGTAAGTGACAGCCCGCACTGCCCAGTATCCCGACGGCTTTGGGCAAGGCTGTGCGCGACCAAGGGAAAAGTCTTGTGTGGAGTTTGGGGATTCCGGATGCCACCTAGAGGATTATCCCTGTCGTTGTGCTCTCGGCTGCTTTTTTCCTCACGAAAAGTGCTTTCCTACCTTTCCTAGGCCCTGCGAGGCACATCTGGTGGGCGCCTGCCAGCTTTGTTCCCGTTGGCAGCTGAGTGTTGAAGGCTCACGCCGAGCAAGCCTGTGTAACCACACGGCGCGGGGTGGTACCACTGGTGGGACATGGCTGGGGACCAGGAGGCTCTGTAGTCCCATCAGACCTAATGATCAGCCCCAGATTGTGTCCCAGACTGAACAGGGCTACTCTGCTTCCCGTCCTGGAGCTCCATGGCCTCCAGAGAACCACAGCTGATGTTTGGAAATCAATCCGTGCACCAGAAGGGCAACCCAGCCCTGGTATTCTCTGGTTTTATTTCCTTTGGCTGTGGGCCGTGCATTTGCAGGAGGCTGGCTTGGAGCCTCTAGGGACAAGGAATAACATTTATAAATGGACACAGGAGCCAGGCTGCCTCTGTGGACCTCTGGTGCTCAGGTGTGCTATCAGCTGCGGAAATGACACTCAACTTCCAACTTCCAGGAGGTAGCCACATCACTCGGTATCTGAGTTTTCTGTGGCAGACTACATGCAGAACCATTTAAGTGCCAACACCACCCTGTTGCTGATAAGCTCTTGATACCGGAGCCACCAAGTGAGATTCTCAGAGTAGGAACCTGGGGTGTGATTGCAAGGGGATGATCAGAGTTGAGGTAGATTAAGGACAACCCTGCAAAGTTAATGTGTGATTATACCAGTCACATCTGGGTTTGTGTCTGCTGTGGCTGAAGCACCCCTTCAGACATCGGAGACCAAGCCTGGAGCTTGAGGTTCTGCAGGAGCTGAGCTGCTTTATCTGCATGATATGTAGGCAAACCACCTGTTGACCTCTCTCAGCTGTCCCCAGACTCTGTGTGGCCTTCAGAATTCTCAGTAGCACAACAAATCCAAAATTTGACTGTTTGCTAATGTTTCTCTGACGTTTCTTTTTAGCCTGTCTGCTGCCATGCATCACAGCTTGTGAGAGGGGCTGAGTTTTGGGGAGCCAGAGAGAAAGAACTCTTTATGACCGTCAAGATTTATTTTCAAGCTCTTCCAGAAATTAAAGACCTGATGCAGAAATTAGTATTTGTATTTGTATTAGAATGTATTTGGCATATTTATGTCCTCTTGGCATATGAAATCTGCAAAATGCCTGATTTCTCAGTCTGTGTCCCTATCTTACCTGCCAGAGGAGGGTACAAACCCCATCTCTTCTGTACCCTTAACAGCCTACCAAATGGGAATTCCACCTACTGATGCTTGAATGGGATTTGCCATCGTAGGAAACAAGACAGGTGTTTTTGTCTGTGGCTGGGACTGTTTCTCAGGCAATTGCTTCAAGAAAAGGGAATGAAAATGTCAGGCAAGAAACTGCAAAACAAATGGTAAGACTAGTCAGGAAAGAGTTACCACCTTCACTGAAAAATTGAACGTGTCTTGTGTACTTTACTGATTGCCATCACCCTTCCTTGTCTTGGATATTCTATTCTCCTTCTCAAGTGCTTTCTGTCTTTTATGGCACTGCCTCAGAGGATGTTGTCCCCTTGTGTGCTTGTTGTCCTTGTGTGCCTCTGTAACCCTTAGGGCAAGCCCTCACTCGGGCTATACTGAAATAAGGGTGTGCAGAAAAGGTGAGGGCTTTTCACCCTTCCCCATCCTTCTATAGACACATCCTATAGATGGCAATTCTCACTCTGGACTGGAGATCGGATAAATTTCTTTCAAAGCAAGCTAAGATTTCCTGTAGTGGGATCAAAAGCATCTAGGTTTACTGCCACATCCCCCCTAAAGAGTGTGCAGTGCCCACTGAACTGAACATGCAAAGGGTGGCTGGTGGTCTCTCTGTCCTTGGCAGGGAGTCGCTGCTGTATACGCTCGCCGGAGAGTGGCACCAGGAAGAAAAGATGGAGCAGAGGCCAGGGAAGACAACCCACACCTGGAGGAACCTCTTTGGCCCTGTGGACCATGAGCAGCTGCATCAGGTCTTGCAGCACGTGCTACGCAACAGCGTGGAGGGGGCCCAGCAGAGGTGGAACTTTGATTTCCTCCAGGACACGCCGGAGGATGGGGTTCTGCAGTGGGAAGAACTTGAAGGCCACGAGGTGCCAGCCTTCTACCACAGCTGCGTGGTGGGAGATGCTCGGAGTCCACTGCAGCGCTTGAACACACCCCTGGGCAGAGAGGACAAGACTCATCATTTTGTCCAGGTGGCACTAGCTGAGAAACCCCGAACTTCCAAGAAAACAGGGGGCAAGAGGATCTCAGAAGGGAAGAAAAAAGACAGACATCTTTGACAGGTGTGTGAGATCCTGGTGTGGCTCAGATGACCAAACCTGGTCCCAGCAGCGGCTTAAAAATTCTTTGGTGGGCCCGAAAACCAGTCTTGCTTTACGAAAATGTAACCCTTCAGAAAAACATCTGAAGGAAAAGGAGGGTACACTCTAAATTGATGGGCATGGAGTTTGTGTTTTTCAAAGGTGCTGTGCCACCCTCTCCTGGCCCTGGGGGTCTGTTTCTCTCACAGAGCAGTAGGGCCACCCTCTCCTGGCCCTGGGGGTCTGTTTAGGACTTCTCACAGAGCAGTAGCATATTACCAGTGAAGGCATCCAGAAATCTTAAGGGCAAGTTGATCTTAAACTTGGCCAGGTGGCAGAAGTGGCTAGGTTTTCAAATGCCTCTCACCAGGACTTGCTGCCAGGAGTGGGTTTCAGCACCCATAATAGAGTTTTAGGTTTCCAAAAGTCCTCAGCATCCTGCACACTATGTTCTTTTGAACACCTGGCCCCTCGTTTTCTCTTCTTAACAGTATTTGAGATGTTAATCCCTTATAATGGATTTCCCTTGTCCATATTGGGGTTTTGGTTTATCCAAGACTGAGGTTTTCAAGACATAGACCAAGGGTTTTCTTTCAGGAATTTGATGTGAGACACCAGCTTGGAATTGCCTAGAAGATAATTGAAGCCAAGGTTTCAGGAAACACTTTCTGAACAGTGATGTTGATCTCAGTTAAGTCAGACAATAGGCTAATTTGCTATTTGAGGGTATGAAACTTAATTGCTAGCAAGAGGTTCAGGAAGAGGTTGGAGATTAATGAAAGGTGGAACATTGCACCAGAACAATGATATTTAATGAGTGCTCTTTTCTTCTCCAAAGCAGTTTACAGCCATTAACTAATTAACAGTATAATTTACAGGTGAAAGTACAGAAGTGCAATTCAGAGCACAATGTTGTGATGGTTTGAGGGAACTGCTGTTCAACTGTAAATCTCTCACTAGGTGTGTGGGAGTAAATTATGCAGATATTTCCAGGGGATATTTTTCTTCCGTTTTGTTTTCCCCAGGCAAGAAACATTTCATCAGGGGATGTGGAAACCAAAATACCACGCTGCACAGTCTAACACTTTCCCACATGTGTTTTCTTAAGAGAAAACACTTTAGTCTAACAACGGTACCCTTCTCCCCGAGGAATCTGGGTGTGTGAGATGGGCCAGGAAAATCATTTGCAGTCCTCTCTTTTGGTGAAGCTTGGAGAGCAGTCACTCTCTCAATCCTTCTCTCACCAGCACACACACACACACACACACACACACACACACTTCTTATTGCCAGCTGAAGGATGCAATAGATGTTTCCCTCTAGCTGCAGAAACCTCATCCATCTGGGCATGATTGAAGTAATTCAGGCAAAACTGAGCCAGGGAAAGTCTGATATGGTCTGACCCCACTCTTCCACCCCTTCACTCAACTTCTGCCATGCTGTAATGAAAGGTTAGTTTAGGATTAGGATCTGAGGTTGGATTCGAACCTGGTGATCTGCGTTCAGCTTTGGTCAACAAGGGCTCTGTAATGCTTTACATTAAGATCCAACAATGTGCATTTAATTTAGACTTTCAAAGACAGCTGTAGCCCATTAAATAAATATCAATATATTTAAAAACCAGCCATAGGGTTTTGTGGACATTGGCACTTCCAGAGTGGAAGGAGCAGAGGTTTTCCTGCTGCATTTGACTCCTCAGACAGGCAGAGAGAACCAGTACGAAAATAGATTTTCCCAAGTCTTAAGTTCATGCACTCCATCTTCATTCTATCTTTTACATTGTGACCCCAGTGTGGTTCTGTTCTGTTTTCGTGGGGAGCCTCAAATAAAAAATGAAAAAGCAGTTTAGATACAGGCTCTAAGCCTTTACTTTTTCCTTTTCTTTTTTTTTTTTTTCTCAAAGATTGGTGAACTCTTCACTCCTCTTTTTTCCTTTTCTTTTTTTTTTTTTTTTCTCCAAGATCGGTGAACTCTTCACTCCTTTTCTCCTCTTCTCTTCCAAACCTTTTGGCTTGCCTGAGTCTGATAACACTTAGACCTTGGCTCTCCTGGGAGATGTTCATAAATCCTTGCCTCCTTTGTTAAAGGCCAAAGAGAGAAAATTGGTAAAAATCCTGTGTTTTCCGACTTCTGAAGCAGATCATGCAAGATGGCTAGGAGGTAACGGGGAGGAATGGAAAGCTGGTGTTTAGATAGGTATATTTAAACAATAGAAATCTTTCCCTCCTGGTTCCCTGTGGCCAGGCTTTCCTACTGACAGCACCTTACCTATGCCAGTGCAAGTGCTCTTTGGAGTCCCTCAGGCTAACCAGCCAATCTCCATGGACTCTATTTAGAATTTCAGATGGAGGCTGGACCATCTGACTGTGCATCCCTCTGGCTTTTAAGTGCCTCCATCGATTTGGAAACTAGGCTCTGAGCAGTTGGGCTCTTGCTAAAATTCTTCGCAGGCAGAAATGGGAGTACGGACTACTGGAGTCTTTTCTCAATCTCGTCTACTAAGCATAATTCCTAATGCATTTCTTTTCCCAAAATAAAATGAAGGAGAGCTATATTGAAGTCTTTTAAATGGAAGAAATAAGGGGTAATGTAAGCCGTTTGTTTTTTTTTTTTTCTTACTGGTATTCCTTTCCTCTGCTACTCCTCTGAGAGACTACAGGGGGTTATAGTAATAGAAGGATTTGCTTTCGTACTGAGTTAGCAGTGCATGCTCCTGCGTGGGAGAATACACTCTCCCTGGGATCATGTCCTGCTCCAGAAGTCCCATTTAGGGCTATCTCTGGTCCCACTGTGCTCCTCCGTTGCGCTGTGCCATGCAGCTGTGTCCTCCAGGAAGCTGGCTGCAGGAATCTGGTGGCACAAACCGGGCTGTGAAAGCCCACAGAATGCCAGTCACCCCACCAATAACGTTCTGTGTTGAAATTAATGCGAGACTTTATGCTGGAAGGAGCTGATAGTTGTTGCCAATTTGACTGTATGGAAACCTCGTGTTTAAATATTATGGAACCTGCATCCTCAGCTGAAACGGGAGCAAATTCATTGCTGCGAGTGCAAACAATTCACACCAGGTAAATCCTATGAACTCTGTAAAGATAAATAATCATCTGGCTCCCATTTCAGCTAATTCTGCCCTATGACTTGAAAAAAGTGTGTGTTTTTTTTGTGCAAGGATGGGAGGCAGGGAAGGAACTCATAGGGAAACACCTCTGCTGTAGTCACAGTTCTGTCATTAACATTAATTTACATATGCATCTGAAACAAGGATTCAGCTGCATATATGTATGAAAATGTATGAAAAACCACAGTGCTTACTCTCTGAGCAAAGAATTAGTATCAGTGATAGCGCAAGGTTTTACGCAGCCCTCCTTGAATCTGCAGTTTGATCTAATAAGCAGACATAAAGTGCCCCGTTATATATAGTTCTTCTAATGTTATTTTACAGAGTATTTTTTGCCACTTTTAAGGAGGAAAAAACAACCCTATTTCACACAGCACTGCCACAGTGGATCTAAAAGTCGGAGTGAAACATCACATTGCTCAGCTCATGTAAGAGGGTTCAAAGTCTTTTGATCTCTACTGGATAAAAGCCAGCACGTTTCCTTTGTTTTGTTTGGTATTACATAGCTTTATGTGGAACATGTTAAAGGTCTTAGTTTTGTTCATTAACAAGCCATAGAGAAGTCTAAGTGACTTCTTCAACGCGAAAAGGAGATTTGAGAGATTTCTTGAAAAGCAGCTGTTATCAGTGTCGAAGCCCTAATTCTGTTTATGTGTTGCTCTCCAGATTACTACTCGGCAAAGAAGCAGGTTAAGTTGAATATGCAAGCTGCTGCAAATAACTCAACTTCTTGAAAGCAAGGAGAGGAGGATTGCTCTGTGCTGGAGAGGTTGGAAACATCTGCCAAGCTTCTTCAGCCTTCAAAACTAGGGTGTGCAGGCTGTGGACACTTAGGGGCATGCCACAGAGCTGTATTGCTGACAACAGCAGTGAAAACAGAAAATACTTTCATTGGGGTAGGGTTGGCCAAATCAAGTGGAATCATATTGATGAGAAATTACTAGTCACAAAAACCACTGGTGAGCAAGCTTGGATGCTACAGAAATTGGCTAAGGCTAGCAGTTTAATGTCCAGTAAAAATCATTGTACATGAGAAAGTGGTAAACAGTTGAAACAACTGTATATATGTAATAAAGTGCTTGGACAAGTCACTGTACAGTTGGGGCCTTTCATATTGTGATGTCTTCACACACCTTCTTTTATGGTTTTAGCAGGGAGAGCTTACCAAGCTTCGCCATCTCGGTTTTACAGGTCTGACACAGGAAAAAATCCCAGCCTTGTCTGGGATTTTTTTCTTCAGGTACAAAATTTTGTGTTTGCAACTACTCGGGGCTTAAATAACAGCATTTGGGTCCCAAACACTGAGATGTAAATGGAGAAAGCTGAAATTATTTGGGAACACTTTCATTTATATCAGCAGCCGTTTTCACCCTGCATGTCTGCCCCACACATAAGAATTAGGTTGTTAAACTTGTGTGTTATGGGGAGAAATTTGCAGATATGTTGCATCTTTCAAGTCATTCCTGCTCCCAGCTGGGCCAAATCCAGCCTTTAATTCGGTTTTTGCTGTTCCATCTAGGTCTTTGAGTTTCCATGGTGAAAACGAAGTTAACATTTGCTGTGCGTTTGTCCACACTGTTTTAAAATGCTTGCTGCTTGTAAGAACATAGTAAGAATGAAGGAGATTATTTAGTTGCTGTTATGTGCTTTTTATTCGTTCTAATCTTTCTATAAGAAGAAAAAGGACATTAATAACACTGAAATATTACACGTACAACATACTCGGTGTTGCATGGACTGCTTTTCTATGGCATTTGTTAACATACACTTTTCCATCACCTACTTTTTATTTCCCTTTTTTATTCCCCTGACTAGTTGGGATAATTGAAATTTTACAGCACATAATAATCAGTGGGTAAAC